CTCTGTCCGACGAGCGAAGATCTGTTGAAGGTTGGGGTTTTCCTCTCGCGTCTCTCCCAAAACGCAACAAGCTTCCGCCGTCGCCTCATTTCATCTTCTCATCTTTAAGGAACAAAGCCACCTCCACCGTCGTCTTTCAAGAGCCTATCGGCGGCTCCGGCTCATTTTCTCCATCCGATGAGTGAAGATCATGTTAGGGTTTTCGTCCCATTTAGCTTATATATGTGAGTCTGTATCCCCATTTGCATAGTTGGAATGAGTGAAGAGAAAGACACTATGCAGTAATGAGAGAGAAGGGGTCGGCGAGCTCGCTAGACCCAGAAATACGAATCGAAGGCACAAAGAATTGAGAGTGCAAAGAGAAGAGTGAAGGTGAGAGCATAGTAGAAAGAGGAGCAGAGTCGTGTAAAGCGGAGTTGCTGAAGAGGATAAAGAGAGAAGAAGCTTTCGTGTGAAGAGAGTAGAGCATAACGGCAGCTGCTATTGGTAGTAACGGAGAGCAAACGAGAAACAAATGCAGGGAGAAGGGAGAGCGTTTTTTGAAAATTTTCCAATTGGTGAGTTCCGAAGGATACGTGTCGTGAACTGGATAGACTGTCTCTGCGATGATGTGGCAAGACTGTCTTAGCCAATCTTTTCTTGTTACTGTCGATAGCAACGGTAGCTTTGCTCTACTCTCTTCATGCGAAAGCTTTTCCCCTCTTTGTCCTCTTCGAAGACTCTGCTCTGCACGACTCCGCTCCTCTCTCTGCTATGCTCTCTTCACGGCTCTACTCCTCTCTCTACACTCTTCACTCTTTTTGCCTCCAATATGTGTTCTAGGTCTAGCGAACTCGCCGATGCCTTCACTCCCATTACTGTGTAGTGCCTTTCTTTTCACTCATTCCAATTATGACTTAGGGGTCCATACTCACGAATATAAGCGAAATGGGAGAAAAACCCTAACATGATCTTCGCTTATCGGACGGAGAAAATGAGCCGGAGCCGCCGATGGGCTCTTGAAAGGCGACAACGAAGGTGGCTTCATTCCTTGAAGACGAGAAGACGAAGTGAGGCAACGGCGGAAGCTCATTGCGAGTTTGGGAGAGACGCGAGAGGAAAACCCAACCTCCAACAGATTTTCGCTTGTTGGATGGAGTAAACAAGCCGAGCCGCTGATGGGCTCTTGTACGGGATGGCAAAGGCAGCTTCGTTCCTTGAGATTCCAGAGAAAATAAGAAGACGAAAGTGATTTTGGAAGAGATAGAAACCTTTTGTTCGTGAGGAGTGATAGGGAGAGAGAGAGAGTAAGTGAAGAAGGAGCTCTTCTCGAGAAGGTGGGAGAAAGAGAGCAAGAGATAACGGAGGTAACAGAGACATAGACAGGAGGGAGTTCAGAAAATATTGGGTACCCAAATGATTCCAAGTTAGCAAAATATTAGTCTACTTAACGTGCGACACGTGGCGATTGCAGGCCCATATGTCACGTCTCTCTCCCTTGCTTCTTCACAACTCCGCTAAAAATTTTGCAGAGGCGAGGATCACCCTCGCGGCCTTTGGCGAGGGCCCGACCCTCACTGCCCGAGCAAGGGCTCACCAGATTCGGAAGCTGCGGAGGGAGGCGATGACATTGGAGCCGTAAGGGAACTCGGGGATGCATGGGCTGTGGGAGGGCTCGAGGTTGCAGGTGATGAAGACGGGGTCTTGGGCAGGTTCTTGAACCCAGGGGGCGGCGGATGAGGCGGAGTTTGTGAAGTCGTCGCAGCCGCCATCGTTGGGAGCGCTGTTGTTCAATAGGAGTGCCTTCAAGAAGAACCCCCAACAAAAACCCTCTTCAAAACCCATGACTCTCTCTGTTTTCTCAGCCTTTGCAAAAAAGTTTCGCACCCAAATCCATCAAATTTCTCCTCTTTATCTCTGGGACACACATGGCTGAGAAAAATAGGATTTTGGAAACTAATGAAACTCCCAAAGACCAGAAGAATGCCTTCCCTTTCTTCCCCAGTTTCAAATTCCCATTTCAATTTAGAGCCAAACCAGTGAAGAAATGAAAAAGAGCAAAATTTTAGCAGAGTCGCGAAGAAGCAAGGGAGAGAGATCTGACATGTGGGCTCACAATCGCCACGAGTCGCACGTTAAGTGGACTAATATTTTGCTGGCCTGGAATCACTTGGGTACCAAATATTTTCTTGAGGGAGTTTTCAAAATTTGCTGACAGGTGGGATCCGCTTGACATGTGTCATGCACCTAATGGGGTATCTCATCGTTGACGTGAAATGCCTGGTGCACTTAATATTTTCTCGGCAGTAACGGAAAGCAAACGGGAAACAAACGCAAAGAGAAGGGAGAGGGTTTTTTTTGAAAATTTTCCAATTGGTGAGCATATCCGTTCTAGTGAGTCCCGAAAGATATGTGTCGTGAGCTGGATGGACTGTAAGACTGTCTTAGCCGATATTATCTCGTTACTGCTAATAACAACTGCGGCTTTGCTCTACTCTCTTCACGCGAAAGCTTCTTCTCTCTCTGTCCTCTTCAAAGACTCCACTCTTCACGACTTCGCTCCTCTCTCTGCTGTGCTCTCTTCACGGCTCCACACCTCCGCTCCTCTCTCTACACTCTTTGTGCCTCCGATCCATGTTCTGGGTCCAGCAAGCTTGCCGACCCCTTCGCTCCCATTACAGCATAATGTCTTTCTCTTCACTCGTTCCAATTATGCAACTAGGGGTACATACTTACGAATATAAGCGAAATGAGAGAAAAACCCTAACCTGATTTTCACTAGTCGGACGAAGAAATGAGCCAGAGCCGCCGATGGGCTCTTAAAAGGCGACGGCGGAGGTAGCTTCATTCCTTGAAGATGAGAAGAGGAAGTGAGGCGACGGCAGAAGCTCGTTGCGATTTTGGGAGAGACGCGAGAGGAAAACCCCAACCTCCAATAGATTTTTGCTCGTCGGACGGAGAAAATGAGCCGAAGCCACTGATGGGCTCTCGTACAGGATGGCAAAGGCAAATTCGTTCCTTGAGATTCTAGAGAAAAATATAAGACGAAGGCGATTTTGGGAGAGACAAAAACTTTTGTTCGTGAAGAGTGATGGGGAGAGAGAGAGAGCAAGTGAAGAGAGCTCCTTCTCGGGAGGAGGGAGAAAGAGAGCAAGAAATAACGGAGGTAACAGAGATAGAGATGGGAGGGAGTTTTCAAATGCTCACAGGAGGGACCCGCTTGACATGTGTCGCGTACCTAATGGGGTGTCTCATCACTGATGTAGAGTGCCGGTGTACCTAATATTTTCTAGCAGTAACAGAGAGCAAACAGGAAACAAATGGAGAGAGAATGAAGAGGGTTTTTTGAAAATTTTCCGATTGGTGAGTCCCGAAGGATACGTATTGTGAGTTGGATGGACTGTCTCAGCAATTATGTGGCAAGACTGTCTTAGCCAATATTTTCTCATTACTGCCAATGGCAGCTACGACTCTGCTCTACTCTCTTCATGTGAAAGCCTCTTCTCTCTCTATCCTCTTCAAAGACTCTGCTCTTCACGATTCCACTCCTCTCTCTGCTATGCTCTCTTCATGGCTCTGTACCTCTCCTCCTCTCTCTACACTCTTCACTCTTTTTGCCTCTTATCCGTGTTCTGGGTCCAATGAGCTCGCCGACCCCTTCACTCCTATTACTGCGTAGTGTCTTTCCCTTCACTCATTCCAATTATGCAACTAGAGGTACAGACTCACGAATATAAGCGAAATGGGAGAAAAACCCTCACTTGATCTTTGCTCGTCGGACGGAGAAAAGGAGCCGGAGCCGCCGATGGGCTCTTGAAAGGCGACAGTGGAGGTGGCTTCGTTCCTTGAAGATGAGAAGACGAAGTGAGGCGACAGTGGAAGCTCGTTGCGATTTTGGGAGAGACGAGAGAGAAAAACCCCAACCTTCAACAGATTTTCGCTCGTCGGGCCGAAAAAACAAGCTGGACGGAGTTTTCAAAATCTGCTAACAGGTGGGATCCGCTTGACACATGTCGTGCACCTAATGCAGTGTCTCATCGCTGATGTGGAGTTCCTAGTGCACCTAATATTTTCTTGGCAATAACGAAGAGCAAACGGGAAACAAATGGAGAGAGAAAGGAGAGGGTTTTTTGAAAAAATTTCTGCTCGGTAGGTCCCGAAAGACATGTGTCGTGAGCTAGGTGAACTATCTCAGCGATGACGTAGCAAGACTATCTTAGCCAATATTTTCTCGACACTCAAAGGCTTACAGCTACAAGTTTGGATCGGTTTTTATTTTTGGGTCTTTTCCTTGATCCGTTTTGGCCCAGTTGAAATGTCTAAACAAATTTAAATAAATCTTTTCATTTGAACTAGAAAAATAGACTTATATTTTAAGTTGTATATACCCTGTAGGATCAAACTAACTCACAACAATGAGACTTCTTCCTTTTTCCAATTTTTCATATTTTAGTTTTATATGCCAATATTTCACATTTCCTTTTTATATTGTTTTTCAGCCTATTTTTTTTTTCATTGGTATATGGTCCATTCTCATATTTTCTTCTTAATGCTACAAATCTGAATGAGTCTGAAATTTTTAAATTTTAAAGCATTTTCAAATTCTTTTAGTGCTTACGTATCTTTCCATGCATAGCCCTTTTTGCAAATGCAAGGAAACATAAAATAAAATTTCGTAACCGAAACCCAACCCCCCAACCAATACACACGTGTTCTTGTTCGTCGGCACGATGCTCACCCATGTCTTCACATTGCTCATGTGACAAACGGAGTCCACGACCTTATCCAAGCAACCGAGCTCTCTCACCGAGTAAACAAGTTGATCTATGGAGTCACCCATTCTTTAGAGATAAAAATTGTTAAGAATTGAAACTCGGGTAAGGCAAAATCGGTTACGAGTTGTTAAATTTATATCGAATATAAATAACTTAATTTGGATAGGACCATTTTTAATCCGATCAGATCAGATCCACTCGTTTAACGGGCATAATGTCAATTTTTTTTGTGGAATTGCCAAAAAAACAAAAATCGATTAGAAAATTGCGGGTTAATAGTAATGCTCCCCATTTCACACGAACCAGAGCCATCCAGCACCACCACAAACACATGGCCGCCACCGCCACTACCGGCGACCGAACCAGCGCGAAGATCCTGCTCACGTCGCTCTCCGCCATGGTCGCCGAATCCGCCACATTCCCCATAGACCTCACCAAGACGCGCCTCCAGCTCCACGGCCAGTCCCTCCCCTCCCCCTCCTCCGCCGCCGCCGCTCGCCCCGCCGCCGCCACCGCCTTCCGCGTCGCCGCCGACATCGTCCGCCGGCAGGGTCTCCCCGGCCTCTACCAAGGCCTGTCTCCCGCGATCGTCAGGCACCTCTTCTACACTCCGATTAGGATCGTCGGTTACGAGAATCTGAGGAATGCGGTCGACGCGGGCGATCGGTCCCTCTCTCTCCCCGGCAAGGCGCTCGCCGGCGGAGTTTCTGGAGTCGTGGCTCAGGTAAAATCGCTCCTTCTATCGTATTAACTGCATCGATGGTGATGAGGTTTCGCAAGTCGTCATTCTCTAGCGCAGACGAGCTCCGACGCGAGCTGAAAACAAATATGCTCTGATCAACTGAGTGCTGTTCGATGCTTTCAGTTTCAAACTATGATTTCTTATGCTGAATTGTCTCCAAGATCAGCGCTTTTAGTAGATGCATATGTATGGTTGATGATTATAATCTATTCATAAGCTGTTCAGAATTTGTGGGGCGATCTGCTAATGGAATTGTCATTTGGGCAAGATTTCACTCGTGATACTCAATGGTTTCAACTTTCAATTCAAATCTGCGCCTTTTCGGTATATGGTTAGTTATTATTCAGGTTGTGGCGAGCCCCGCGGATCTTGTCAAGGTGAGGATGCAGGCTGCTGGTCGTATGGTGAGCCGGGGTCTTCAACCTCGGTACTCCGGGCCTTTGGATGCTTTCGGGAAGATTGTACGCGAAGAAGGTGTCCCGGGGCTTTGGAGAGGGGTTTTCCCAAATGCGCAGAGAGCATTTCTTGTGAACATGGGGGAATTGGCGTGCTACGATCAGGCGAAGAGATTCGTCATTCAGAATCAAATTGCTGAAGATAATATATTTGCCCACACCTTGGCATCGATCATGTCAGGTCTATCAGCTACGGCTCTGAGCTGCCCGGCTGATGTGGTGAAGACGAGAATGATGAATCAGGCAACAAACAAGGATGGTAAAGCGATGTATCTAAGCTCTTATGATTGCCTGGTGAAGACTGTAAAATTTGAAGGCATAAAGGCTCTTTGGAAGGGCTTTTTCCCGACATGGGCGAGGCTTGGTCCTTGGCAATTTGTGTTCTGGGTTTCTTATGAAAAATTTAGAACAATTGCAGGCATGTCATCTTTCTGATAAACTTGGAGTGTCTGCGATCACTTTGCATTGGGTGCAAGGGTAATCTCAAGTGAGAATAAGATAATGAGATTCCTCGTTTTTCTGGATCAGGCACACCAAATGTCTCTGCTTTTTACAGCATGGTCAATTTGCCCTGAGGTGCAATAGGTAGTCATAAGTCATCATCACTTGCTCTTCATCTGATGAATAACAGGTGTTGCCAACGAGGCAAGAACAGTGTGATAATAATCCATTTCAGGATTGCACTGGGGAAGATGGTGGTGATGGTCATCAAAATGTTGTTACTTGTTTTTGGCTTTTAAAGAGATATCGAGATGCTCTTTGTTTGAACTCCCTCTTCTCTCCGAATTCCCGACAAGAATTTATTGCGACTTCTGTCTTGCTTCGAAGACATTTCTTATGGGTTAACATATTGATCTCTGTCACCCTTCTCCCGAGCCCAAAATTAGAAACTTTAAAATGCTGTTTATCTTATCCGGTCTTTTCTCTAAGTGCTGGGATATGGAGTAGTGTAGTGTCTGAGCATAGCCATTTATTTCCACACACTACGCAACCTGTTATTCCGGTGACTGTTTCAGTGTCTTAATTGGTTTCCAGTGTTCTATGAAGTTTCTGAAGTTGTTGGAATGTTAACAAGAGAATTTCCGTCAGCCAGGGCATGGTTGAGTTGGGCAGCCTGTCCTCATTCACCCATTTGCTATGGTTGGTGCGTTTGGTTCAGTTTTGGAAATGGGCTTTGGGGCTCAAAAAATTCTCGGGCAAATGCAATTGTGTTTGGTGAAAAATTTTGGAGGGTCGTTGGGGAAAAGCAGTGCATTGTGGGAATACGGAGTAAAATGTGATATTATCACTCTGTTCGCAGGGAGTTCCCATCGGAAGATATTCTTCAGGCATTGAGGGATGAATCCGTGAATGATCCTCGAAATCGCACCGAGATAGCTCAAACCCATGCATTCTACCGACCATTGCTTCTTGGGCGGGCGATAGCCTTGATAAGATGCACTTCCATCTGCATGCAGTTGCAGCCCTTTTGGCTCTAGACTGAAATTAGATCCGAGTTAGATGGTCTACGGTCACTTGTATATTTCTGGAATTGGAGGTCACTGGCAATGTGTTCTGTCTCGACTGGAATATGTTACTTTTGTGCTAACTCATCTCTAAAACGGCGATTTAGCATGTTATGATGCATCTATGATTGTTAGGAGTAGGCTTGATTGGAGGGAGTTAAATAATGTTCTGGTTGGCTAGGTAGGGTAGGAATTGTACAGTCAATTATCTACTTGGTTTGGTTGGAGTTTTTGATCTAGAGCGGAAGCAAATTGAATAGTCGCTAGAGCCTAAAATCTGTATTGAATCTCCGAAAATTAAACAACAGTCTGAATGACTCGCTCTACTCTAGCAATGTTCCACTTTGATGTGATTTTTTTTAACCAATCAAGAAACGTGATTCTCTTTTTCATTCATCAACTTGCTATCACGCCTCTTTTACATTGTTCTCAATAGTCAAGCCGTAAAAGCTTCGGTCATTGCTTGTTCAATTTTAAACAAATTAAAAATAAAGAGCTTAAATGGGTTACCCCAAATGACTTTTCAAACGTGTTTCACGTTACATGGCATTTCTCTCAAAATTGCTTCCTAATGCACTTTTCAATCACAGTTTACCGAGTCACTGGGAACAGCTCAACACCGGTCCTCGCAGAAGCAGTGGATATTCTTGTTCCGACCAAAACAAGATCGATCTAACAGAATAGCTAGATGTTAACACTCACAAGAATGCAAAAATGTGTTTCAATTAGTTGTGTCAAAAAAAAAAAAATACCGCAGACAACAAGAAGAACCTCCAGAAATACAAACTCAAAGCAATAAGAAGAGAAAATCCAATGTCTTCAGATATGAAAACCTGTCCATCTTTTGAAACCGCTCAATTCACTTCCATCAGCAACCGCCAAACCGATTCCTGTCCTCCCTCCGCTGCCAACGCCTCTGTAATACAGCCTCCACTCGTTTGCCTCCCCATCCAGCTGCACCAAGCATGGACTTCCCACTCCCTCCCCATCCCATCCTCCATCCGATCTTCCCAGGATTGCTTCTTCCCCAAGCCTCCTCCAATCCTTCAATCCATCCGACGAAACCGCGGCTCCTATGCTCCTCTCTCCATGCCGGCCCATGCCTTGGTACACCATCAAGTACCGGCCATCTTTCTTGTTCTTCACCACGCGAGCATTCGCAGCCCCGCGCTCGTCGAAGCACCCTTTCCTCCCTCCCAGTATCTTTCCCAGCTTCAGCCACTTGATGCCGTCCCTCGACCTCGCGAGCCCGACGCAGTACTCGCCCTTCTCCGCGTCGAAGGAGTGGTAATACATTCTCAAATCCCTGCTTCCATGGAAAACGACCTGTGGCGAAGATATGAACCGGGAATCCCACTCGTTCTTCGACCCGACGTCGAACAGAGCTCCGCTGTGATGCTCCCCTTCAATTCTTGCCCAATGCCTGCCATCCTGACTCATGGCCAACCCCGGCAAGGACTTGAAGATCTCTCCTTTTCTGCTGCAGGATCTTTCGGGGTTTTTCACAGCGAGTTCCAAAGAATCATCGAAATACTCGACATTTTCGGAACTATAACCAGTGTAGTAAAGCCAGTAAACAGCACTGGAGGCTCTGACTATGTTACTGGACATAATCACTACCTCACTAGGCCTGATGCCCATTGTATCGAAAGCCCACCAATCTTTACCGCAATTCAAAACCAAACCTGCAACATCGGTTGATCTTGCCGCCGCCACTCCTCCTCCGCGCTCCCAATGAATCCCATTGCTGGAAACTGCCAATCCAATTGCATCAGAACTAGGATTCTGATCTGAGCTTCCATGGTACCACATGTACCACCTCTCTTCCTCATCGCTCAAGAACCTCTTCACAACTGGAGACCCAACTTCTGCACTGTCCCACGAGTTTGCAGGGCCCAAGTCAAGCACCAAACCTCTCGAACAAAGCGATATCGTGGAAGAAGAAGCAGAAGAAGAGGTGCAATTATCTGATGAGGGTGTTGATATTTCCTGGAATTTCGAGCCATGACTGGATTCGAAGCTCGGATTTTTATCGGTTCCATTGGTGATGTCGGCGTTGGGCTTCGTGGAACAGCGAGCGACGAGAGAAGGGGCGTGCCTGGAGTCGAATGCGATCGTATGGAGAGTGAGCAGGTTGGGCTTGTGAGGGGGTGGGCATGGAGGGAGAGAGGTAGTTGGGTTGGTAAAGTTGGGAGCGTTGGTGGTGGGAGTTGCAAGGAAGCTGAAGCTGTTCATCGCAGTAGATGTTGATGCAGAGACGAATCAAATTGAGCGAGGAGGAAAGCGACAACTGAATTGGGCAAGTATGAGTGATGGCTGGTGAGATTGTGAGCCACTTATCATATGAGTAAGGATGTTCGGGAGGGAGAATTGAAAGCAGAGATTGCTCCTTCTCCGCCTCTCTTCTATCTACCAGTAAGCTCTAGCCAACGATGTCCCCCACATTTATATCAGGAGGATCCTAGGAGGATGGACTGGTGGTGGTGGTCTCCTCTTCTAGTTACTTGTCTCAGTCATGCGACTCGTTTGTGGATAACAATTCTCCATGTGGCTTAGTGATGTTTCCCATTTATTTCCAAGTTCCATTACCTATGTCATCAGCAAAATAATGCTCGAGGCATACGAAGCGAGATTTGCATACTCGGTAACGTGCCTTGTTTGTTTAAAGCGAACATTTATAGTCCGCGACACTCGATATACAAATTTTACAGACCTTAATTAATATACCTGAGATTGCCCATAAAAGTTTCAAGTGAAGAAGGGGAAGATAGGTGTTCCTCTCCTTCTAGTGTTTCGAGTTTTCTTATTATGTGGATATAATTGCTTATCTATGTTAGGAATCAGGTCGAAAGGGGGGACAAAGAAAGACATGGGTTCCTAGCGTTCCCAAGGAAAAGGATGTGCATCTCGCCCTTCATCTTTATCCCTTTTTCCCAGCGTAAGTATTTGAAAATTCAAAGAGTGTATCTTTTGTCCTATGCTTTGCTTCCTGCGCTCGGATTAAAGAGAGGATAGCATGAGATTGTGTGCTTGCTACTGAAGGAAGGTAGCCCATGGAGCAATATAATGATTAGCTTCTCCGCTTTTAGCTCGTCCTTTTACGAGGATTGCTCTACATTTTGGTTATTCTCCCATTTTGCAGGATAATCAAGCGACTAAAGGGATTACAGATCGCTAAACATTCACCTAAAAGATAATGAATGGGGGTATTGGGAGAAGCAAACCATTACACTGCACAAATTTCTGAACATAATTCATCAACCTGGGCAGTCACTACACGGGCATTTGGAGATTCCAATTTCATTTCGTTTTTTTCACTCCATGACATCATTCATTTGTTAGAAGAAATCGTCGTTCCGTTGCGTCATTCATTTTGTTACTACTAAGCATGGAAATGAAACGATAATTGCAACTGATAACATTCTTGAATAATAAAGCATGCTTCGACTCATTAGCCTGAAATTGCCAATCCTTCTTGCACTTCAAAATTCTCCAATACTCTGCCGTTCTACATCGACAATAATGTATGTCAAAATTATGCACAACTCTCGTGAGAACTCTGCAATAAATCAAATTACTAACACCATAATTTCTACCTTAAGCTAAAGTCACATTCAAAAAATGAAATTGAAAAGGAGAAGAACTAAAAACTTAAGCTCATCATAAAACTATAACTCATCGCGACCACTGACCACCTTAAGCCCCCAGCTCATGTCCTCGCAGTGTCTTACATAAGGCACCAATGCACCCGTGTCGATTCCTGTCTTAGCCTTGCAGTCATAGAAAGGAGGAGCGTGAAAGCAGGGTTCCATCGACATGGCTCTACGACAAGGTGGGTCGGGAGTGGTTCTGTTTTCTGGCTTGTAAAGGATCCAAGGCTTTAAACCCCCGAGGCCCTGAGCTACGTACCCAAATGTTGACCATGAACTGGTGATTAACACGTCAGACATGCTAAGGAGATACATTTCAGCCCATGCTTTCTGGTTGTGTAATTGCCTTTCTGTCTGCTGGTATTCTTCATGGCTCGGTTGATAAACCCCAACGAAGTCCCCATTGACAGTCGGGTATTCCCAATACATGTTTTTTAATATTTCAGAGTATCCAGAACTTAAAGATGTCATAAGAACGGCTTTTAGCTTCTGGTTTTCTGGAGGAGAGCTAATGGATCCTTTCTTATCTACTTCAGGCAGCAGTTTCTCCTTCAGTGTGCAGGCTAATATTTGGTCCATTACGTGTGGGAATGGACCATTTCCCACATCGAAA